ACCCCAGCAGCAGTCACGCTGTGATAGTGCAGGGGCAGGATTTCTGTGGAGACCGGCCCCAGCAGTGCTGCCAGGGTGCGCATGGTCTGGAGCCAGGGCAGAGCCATGATCTGCAGCCTGCATGCTCTGGGCAGGGGAGTTAAGGCACTGGGTTGTGGCTCTGCTCTAGCTCCTTGCAGCGGTGACAGCGTGGTCTGGAGCTGGGGCAGGGCCACAATCCACTCCCTGGATGCCCCTTCCTGGGGCACGCAAGCTGCAGATCATGGCTTTGCCCTGGCTCTGGACTATGCTGCTGCCCCTGCAAGATCCCAGCTGGACCCCGGAGCAGCACCATGCCCTGCCACGTACTCTGCCAGTGCTGCCGGGGCCGGTCTCCGCAAAAACGCTGGCCCCACACTGTCGCAGCACAGCTGCTGCTGGGCTTTCCATGGAAACTGGCCCCAGGCACATGTGCAGGGGCTGCTGGGAAATGGAGTCCAGATGCTGGCCAAATCCACCATTTTGCCCACCGCTGGAAATCAGCCATGTTATAGTAGTGTAAGAGTGATGTTGTAGCCACTATAGTTCAGAAATTTTGAGAGGCAAGGATTTGTGTGTCTGCTACTCCTGAGAATTTCTTTCAGCCCCTCCTCTATGCTGTGCTTCACTTGCTATGCCTGGCCTCCTGTAATCAGAGACCCAACAAAGAATATCTTACATTTGAAAGCTTATCAGACTTTATCCCAACTACATAGTTGGTCCAATAAAAGATACCACCCAAAGAAATTCTTACCTCTTCCTGAAAAATCATTGCATTTGCAATTTCCTCTTATAGACTGTTCTTTAAAGCATAAAAAAATAATTGGACTTGACGTGGAATTCTTGCTATGAAATAGTCTTCATGTGTTGGGTAACAGTTGTGAAGGTTTTATGTAGCAGGAAGAGTTTAGTTCCACTTGCAATTTAGATAGACTGCATTTGATGATAGGAGGGAGAATGATTCATATACTAATTTACTCATTTTTAAGAATCTTTCTTTAAAAATAAAAATCTATTGCTTTCTTGATCTGTATCTCTGCTATCTAAAATAAAAAGTATGAAAGGGAACCCAAGTGGTTGTCTTGCTATCCAGATCCTGTTAGTCAGTTGTCTTTGTCCTGCTAAGTAATTGTGCTTTGAGGCAATATAACTTAGTTCAAGGCTGTCTAAATTTTAGGTGGCCAGGGCCTGCACTAGATAAGCCCTGGACTACATGCTGCATGCCCCCTCTTCCCTCCCCTCTGCACCATGACATGTGGCTGCCCTGGCTCCCACTTCCAGATCTCCTGCTGCACTGCATCTTGCCTGTGCTCCTGGCCCCAGGCCATGGGTTCCCCCAACCCTATGGGCTGCATTGTTCTGTACCGCCCTGTCCCATCCCCTGGGAGGGGGAGCCCAGAGACCCTAGCTATTACTGCAGCCAGAGCAATGAGGGGAGTGGTGGCCACCTGGGAGCTGGTTTTCATAATCTGCATTCAGGCTACAAGTTGGATAGTCCTGGCTTAGTTGATGGGACACTGTATCACAACTCAGAAAACTTGGCTTCAGTTTGTGGGTCTGCCACTGACTTGCTGCATAACTGTGGGAAAATCTCTTCCCTCATTTCTCTCAGTTGCTGCCATGTAAATGGGATAATTATATGTCGGGGCAGACATGGGAGACAGGTGTCAGGCAGAGGTGGAGGGGGAGGCAAGAATTGGGGTGCAGGCACAGAAAGGCATGTGGCAGGGGAATATGGTATAGTGCAAATAAATTTCTTAAGGAAATTAGTGTATTTAGTAATCTTAACTAAACATTTATTGTTCCACCATCACACGATGGAACATAATTTCTTAGAAATTTCTCCCAAATCACCCCAACCTTATCTGAAAAGTTCCAATTTAATGCAAATGTTGTGCATTCGCAACTATAAGAAATAGTGGCCAGTATTACTCAGGGAATAGTTCTGAAAACAGAAGATAATAGCTAAATGGGAGTAGCTTTTCACCTCCTTAAAATGTGGACTTTAATCTTAATTTTGGTTAAATTTGCTTCTGTTTTCCCCATTTGTGTCATAGAACACAAATTAGCAAAAGATGAATGGTAGTCTAGTGTCAAGAGGATCTTAAAACTCTAAGAGAGTCCTGGGAACACGATTTATGAGGAAATGATCAAAGAACTTGGATTATTTAATCTGAAGAAAAGGAGGTGGGGGGGCGGGGAGATTTGATAACAGTCTTCAAATATGTGAGGGTGGTTATGTGGAAGATAGAGGTAGACTATTTTCTGTAACTGAAGGGGACCAGACAAGGCCCCATGGTGTTAAATTGCATCAGGGAAATCTAGGTTTGGTATAAGAAAAATATTTTTAACTATGAGGGTAGATAAGCATTAGAGTAGGTTACCTGGAAAGATAGTGGAATCTCCATCCTTGGAAGTCTTTTAGAGCATGTTAGACTAACACTTGACTTGGATGGTATAGTCACAAACAGCCCTGTCTTGAGCAGGGAATTGGGCTTGATGACATTATGGCTAAGTGCAGACTGTCAAAAAGCCCAAAGCAGAATCATAGAAAATTAGGGTTGGAAGAGACCTCAGGAGGCCATCTAATCCAACCCCCTGCTCAAAGCAGGACCATCCCCAACTAGATCATCCCAGCCAAGGCTTTGTCTAGCCGGGTCTTAAAAACCTCCAAGGATGGAGCGTCCACAACCTCTCTGAGTAACCTGTTCCAGTGTTTTACTGCCAGCCTAGGGAGAAAATTCTTCCTAATATGCAAGCTAAACTTCCCTTGCTGCAACTTGAACACCATTACTCCTTGTTTTGTTATCTGTCACCTCTGAGAACAGTCTAGTTCCATTGCCTTTCAAACCCCTCTTCAGGTAGTTGAAGGCTGTTTATTAAATCCCCTCTCAGTCTTCTCTTCTCTGGATTAAATAAGCCCACTTATCTCACTCTTTCCTCAGAAGTCATGTCTCTCAGCCCCCTCACCATCTTTATTGCCTTCAGTTGGACTCTTTCCAAGTTGTCCACATTCTTTCTGTAGCGAACTGAACACAGTACTCCAGATGTGGCTGCACCAGTTCAGAACAGAAGAAGAATCATTTCCCTTGACCTGCTGGCAACACTCCTGCCAATGCAGCCTGGTATGCCGTTAGCCACCTTGGTAACAAGGGCACACTGCTGGCTCATATTCATCTTACTGTGCACAGTAACCCCCAGGTCCTTTTCTGCAGAGCTGCTGTCCAACCAGTCAGCCCCCAGCCTGTACCAGTGAATGGGATTTTTCCGTCCTAAGTGCAGAACCTGGCACTTGTCCTTGTTGAACCTCAGGAGATTTCTTTTGGCCTAATCCTCCAATTTGTCTAGGTCACTCTGAATCATAGACCTACCCTCCAGCATATCTACTGCTCCCCTGTGGTTTGGTGTCATCTGCAAATTTGCTGAGGGTTAGCCTAAGCTATGTAAATCAAACCAATAAGCAAGTGAACAGATATTCACTTTTGATTCCAGAAATGCAGCCATGGTGGCCCAGGCCAGAAGCGGGGGGGCACTAGAGCATGCTTTCCTGCTCGGCTGGAGAAGACAGCTTGGGCCAAGGCTAGCCCACCCACCCTGAGAGAGGGGGCTTTTGGAGGAGGTGCAAAGCATCCTGGCATGCTGTAGGATTCTGAATTAACTTGAATCTGGGGGTGGGGGGGATCTGGGACAGAAGTTCAATAAACCAATTTAATCTAAATCAGTTAAGTCTGATACTACATCCATCCAGGTTTATTTTAAACCAGTTTCAGCCATTTTGAAATTAGTTTATGTGCACTGAACTTCTGTTGTGTTACAGATTTGAACCTGTTTCGGATCACTTATACTGGTTTATGTGTAACTTTTGTCCCTATGAGGTCCTTTCTGTATCTACTTTCTGTCATTCTAGAAAGATAGTAACCATCATTTTCCCTTGTCCAAAAATGAAGGGCTGTGATTTTGTTGTGTAATATGGTGAGATGAAAATCAGTAAAGAAAAAAAAAAGCCAAATTAGAAATTGACATATGGTAATAGAAATGCTGTGCCCAGATTTCCATTTTCCAGCTAATGTTGGGGAAAGCCTGCTTCTCCCCAAAATACAATTTTTGAAACGTGGGTACAATATATTACTGTACTAAATATATATCATTTGTAATGATTGTGTTATAGAAGATGATGGTGTTGCCTAAAGTGAAAATGTAAACATTTTTTGCTTTACATTAGTAAATCTAATAAAATAATGCATTGAACAGGCCAGTTTGAATTTCTCATCCATCTGCAATATGATAATCTACAAATATTTATTCACACTTGATGAAATGCTAATATGTGGCATTCTGGGGCAATAGAAGAATTAAAATTGTTTGACTGAAGGACATATACAGTTATAGGGTTATTATAGGGTTATACTGATAATACAATCCATCTAGTTAAAATATTATTATTGCACAAGTCATCTCAACCAGTGAATATCAGAAATTTTGCCTACCCTAAATTGAGTCTATTCAATTAAAATATCTAGCATTTCAATTTTCATGAGTCTTAGTATGCAAGGTATAAAATTGACCACTTTGGAAAGTGGTTATATGAAATACAGCTTCTAAAAATGACATTAGCCATGTAATTTATTTCTGTATATTGTGCTGTCCTTCATATAGAATCATGCCAAATGTTTTACAGCATTTTATTGATATTGTTACATCTTAGATGTGCATATCACTTATCTGATTGCAGAAGTATTTAGTACCACCTTATTATTTACAGTAAAATAAAAGCAAAACAAGTCCAAAGGTTAAATTGCATAAAATAAATTATATTACATAATAAGATTTTTTTGAGAAGCATCTCAGATTTTTTTTTCAGTCTTTGATTTTTCTATAATTTAATATTAAGATAATACATTTTGGGTAATACATACAAAATAGCCCCTTTCTTTACTTTTGTGATAAAGCAAATAAATATTATTTTTTTCCCTTTCCTGTAGCTCTACTGAGAAGTCGTTTCCTTGGAGATCAGCAGGTAGTACAATCTTTTATGTGTAAACTTTTCATTTCATTCTTTATGCCCCAAAAGCAATTTATTTTCTAAACATTCTCATACAATTTACTACCTGTTCTGAATTGAACTGGATATTAACTTTGCTAGCACAAATACTGTGTATCTTTTTAAAGTATCTTTAGCAAAAATAGTGTTGTTATATGCTTTTACTCATATCTTGAGACATACTTGTATGTTATCTTTCTCTTTTTAATTGAGGTCATCTGTAATGATATTTTGTGTATGATAGCTTTATGCCCTTGGATTTTCTTAAGAGAAAGGTGAAACTATAAGGGGTGGGGAACACCTTTTTTAATATTAGAAGTCCTCTTCAGTTAATTCAAAAATACTGTTGAATCTGTCTCCTCATAGCTGGTGATGTCCATGACAGTTACTGTCAACATCTCAAGAATTTTTGTTTAAGATTAAGATTTTTTTTATATGTAAAATCTGAAGGTTTTTTTTCTTTTTCCAGGTTTCTCTGCCTAGATAGAAACTGACTTATATATACAAGGTTATTTTCTAATATATTCTTTTTTTCTATTCACTCCCTTCAACATCTAGGAAGTTCTTTCCTCGTACAAGAAAGAACAGTTTTGTGGTGATTTGTATCCTGTTTCTTTTCAAGATAGACAGTGGAATCAGTAGGGCTCTTCTGTTTGGGTAGGATCTGGAAGGTAACAATTTGTAGCTCAGAAGGATGCATTTTAGTGAGCTAATCTGACTACTTGGATAACACAGACTAGAAAATTTCACTTGCTAATTCTTGCATCAAGGTCAGTACTTTATGGTTGAAGAGAGAGTCCCTGTCCTGAAGAGTTTATAGTATTACTAGTCATGACACAGAGTAAGAAGGGAAACAGATGAGTAAAGATTTGCCTTGCTTAAGGCCAAAAAGCAGGACAGAAACAAAGCCAGAAATAGAGCCCATGTTGCTTGACTCCTACTCCATTGCCTTTTCCACAGATCATGCAGCTTCTATTTTTAAGGGTATAGGTTAAGCAAGACTAGTAGAAAAAAAAAAAAGATTATTTCAGGTAAATATTGTTTCCTGTGTGTTACTCGCTCTATGTCTATATGGGTGTGTCTACATGTGAATATTAATACAACACAATGAACTCCAGCATAGTTCGTATGGACTTTACTGCCCCCGGACACAGCATTTATACGTGTGCCCAGGAAAGCAGCATATTGAGCTGTGGTGGTGCAGTCCTGGCTGGCAGGGGGACCAAGGAGTCAGCCTGCCAGCCTGGGGCTGCTCTGACCCAGCTCAGCATGCTGCAGAGGAGCTGGCTGGGACACGAGGGTGCTTCAGTGTGGAGCTAGCCGGCAGGCAGCCCCACCACTGACGCAGCCTCGTGCCCCAACCCCCTCAGTGTCTACATGTGCATTGCGGTAGAATAAATATCTCCGTTGTAGAACAGTACTTATATCTGACAGTACTAACCTATGGTGGAGTTAATTAGTTTACTCCAACCTAATAGCGCCACACATGTAAAGTGATTCAGTTTTACTGCAGAGCTAATTAGGCAACTCAGTAAGCATCTCGTGTAGTTGCTCCCTATTATTCCTTTAGTGTAGGAATGCCTGTAGTTTCACCAGAACATGAGTTAGCCCCTAGTTTTGGTGTTTCTGCTGTAGAAAGCATATTGGGTGCCTATATGCAAGCAGTGAGGCTACTCTGACACGCTATAATTACAGCACGTCAGAACAAACTCGATTAATCAAGTCTGCTGGAGTGTGGTAATTACAGCACTCCAGCAGCCTCCAGCATCACATGTACTCCGTGTCTTGTACTTCAAAATGGCAACAGAGGTGCTTTAACTAAAGCTCATCCGATAAGCTGTAGTTAAAACACCCCTGCTGTCGTTTTGAAATGTGAGGATGCTGAATACATGTGATGTGAAGGCGGCTGGAGTGCAGTATTTAGCACACTCCAGCAGACTGCCAGCAGACTTGATTAATCAAGTCTACTCTGTTAGTATGCATCGGACCAGAGCTCTGTCACATGTATAGGTGCCCTAGAAGTTTAACTTCTAATCTAACTTCGTGAGAGCGGGGACACCCCAATCTGGGGAATGCATTGGGAGCATTGTCCTGCTGCTCCCACTTCTCCCAGAGATGATGCTGGAAGTGGAGGAGCAGCTGGGAAGTGCTGTCTGCGCATCCCCTAGCCTAAGGAAACACAAGTCTGGGGAACACGTGGGGAGCATTGTCCTGCTGCTCCCTATGCTCCTTCAGACTGGGATGACCCTGATCTGGGGAAGGCATAGGGAGCCTTTCCCTACTGCTCCACTCCACCTGAGAGCCAAGCGGAATGGAGTAGCCACTGTGTTCCCCATACCTTCCCCAAACTGGGATCATCATCCTGGCCTGGGCAAGACCTTGGAAGCAGGGGAAAGGGGGTGGTTGCAAGCTAGAATGCCTGCATGTTCCTTCTCCCACAAATCTTTCTCAGAAATTTCAAGTACTAAAATGACCACCTGGTGATACCCTCTGTAATACTTACATTTCTTTGGCAGTGTACCTGAGCCTAAGGAATACTATCCTTGTTTTGGAAGTATGTGTTTATTGTATTGTGTATAAGACTGCATATTGCAACAGGGTGTTCTGGCCCTTTAAGAGGGACCAGTCCACTCTTCAGGAAGCCCAACTGTGGAGCTTTTAGATAATGATGGAGTGTCCCATTGGGAGCTTAAAATCCCAAGGGAGAAAGCAGAAAGGCTCAGGATGAGTGAAGGAGCAGCTTTCTACCAGGGAGGGGTCAGGCTGTGCTGATCCAAAGCCAAAGAGCGCTCTCCTACTGCTTGAGACAGGGCCAAAGGGTTTTGTTTGCTGATGTATTTGTTTGTTTGCTGTTCAAGACTGTGTCTTATTTGGAAAGGACTGGCTCCTCAGGGTGTGGATGGACATAATACTAGAAACAGCCCGAGAGTGTCACTGATTGGGAACCAGTTCACAAAAGTCTCTGCAGTGCAAGTGTCCACATATGCACTGCTAAAGCTTCTAAGTCAAATCCTCACCATGTAGGGATTGCATTGCTGCCAAAATGTCACTAGGGGGTGGTAGAGTGCCCAGATCATCATGTCTTCCAGGAGTTGGTGCCCTGAGTTTTCCCCAGGATTTCCCTAGAGACCCAGATTGGAGCAGAGAGCTGGAGTGGAGGATGTTGCTGGGTGGCATGGGGGTTGCTGGGTGCTCTGGGGCCCCCATGAACTCCCTGGCTTTTCCAGCTGATATGTGCAGAGTAGAACCTTCTGGGTGGGCTGCCTGTAGGAGTGCAGCACAGAGAATGAGCAACAGTTACAGTAAATGAACCAATTTACTTCATATTGAGCCTGGGTTTGATAGGTATTCTGAGCTGTTAAGTGCTTTGTTTCCCCACGACTACCACCCAACAATTGACAGATGTTTACTGTTAACAGGCACAACCACCCATCCACCACAAACAAGGGGCCACAAAGCCTCCCCTCTCTACCCTAGAGAAGCCTGGGATCCTGGCCCATGTCCCTAGCAGGGAAGTGAAGCTGACATGGAGGCTTTCTGTTTCTCCACCCCTGCAGCTTATGGGCTTTAAGCAATGAATCTTTGAGCAGTAAGGGTATTTTTACACGTGCAAGCATTGCAGCTCAGGGCACTTTGTAAAGCGTCCAGCACTGTGACACTTGCAGTTGTATAAAGGATGAAATGTGTTTCAACACAAAGAAAATGGTGACGGTACACTTTTGAACTAAAACACCTTGGAGGTGCTTTAGTTCAAAAGTGAACCGCCACCATTTTCTCTGGGCTGATGTGCATTCAACTGCTTATACAACTGCAAGCTGCGCAGTGCAGTGTGCATCAGGTCCCATGCAGAGCAGACTTGATTAGTCGAGTCTGCTCCCAAGCGGCTCATCTCTGGCACATCTGAGAACTAAAGGCATGTGTATAAATGCCCTAAGAATCCTGGTTGCATCCCAGAGCAGCCCCATTGCCCTGCATGGGTTTGGGCAGGGCAAGAAGCTGTGCAGTTTGGGATGCCTGGAGGAATGACCAAACACTAGGCACAGAATATTCCGTGTCCGCACATAACACCAAGCTGGTTCAAAGAGGAGTGGCTCAGAATAGTACTTGGTTTTCCCAGTGTGCTTTTGAAACATTTCAGGACATTTAAACCAGTCTCAAGTGGTCTGCACATCTAAATTCTTAGGGTTTGAAGTGTATTTAGAATGTTCTAAGTCTTATGTCTGTCCACATCATCAGGGACCAAAGCCAAGCCTGCAGGACCCAGCAGGCTAAGTATCCCCCTTACACATATGTATTTGCTGTCCCTTTATAAAATCTTGTATACCCAATTTTAAAATCTCCCTAAGTGAAATTGCATTCTGGAAATCTTCCCACATCCCTCTATACTTTAACCAGGGTCTTTGCAAAATAGGGATTATTAAGAGCAATTGCTCAGCAGCAGCTACAGTTTTTTCACTTTATTTTAGAAGAAACTGTATGCTTTCATACACTGACAGTTGATACAAACATTTTTATTTAACACTGATTACTTTTAAAATTGAAACACTACCACAATAGATTTTTTCTTATTTTATATTTTTTTACTCTGAAGCTTTATTGTGAAGATTTGTCAATATTGGAGGCCTTAGGAAAAAAAACTATAATGGAACTAAAGATAAATGAGAGTACCACCTTAAATCATTTTTTCTTTTTTCTTGTCTGCAGTTAGTAATTTACAACAGAAAAAAATCAGCACATGATGTGATAAGATGTGAACTTAAATGAAAGTGCTTTATGTACCAGTAGAACTGTACAGAATTTATAACAGAGATATAACATGAAGTATGTTGTTTTGCAGATGCTCATGAATAGAATATTAGATCAGCAACCATGTATAAAAGACTATTATTTTATTGAGGGCTTTGGTTCCCATGATTTATGGTAACACAAGAATCTAGAGAGGGAACAAACCTTTTTTATTATGTATTCTTGCCATC